CTAAACTTCGCCAGGCAGGTCTTGAACCCATTTGTTTTTTACTTAGATTTAGATCATATTCCGTGGTTTAAAGCTGAGAATGAATGCTGCGTTATACGTGACCGGTGCACCTAAGAAATTACGTACATGTTGAGAAGATGCGATATGTTTCTACTAACAATTAACGTGTTGTATAGCCGCTGCGATAGATTCAACCTTGTTGAAGACACCTCTAACCCATTGATGATTGCGCATTATTTACATTGGAGCATGGGGCCGACACCCTTTTCCGCTTTTCGTTGACAACTGTTATACTGAATCAAAATCTATCAAAATGAAGCGACGTAGAGAACAGAAAAGTGTGACTCACACGTGGGTACATGGTCCCACGCATCCCGAAGTGCATAACCCACCCGTAGGCCGCGCGGTCGTCAATGGGTGAAATAACATTCGAGCAAAACAGCGAGATTGAAAACCTTGAAAGAAGTCCAAAAGAAACTGAAGAAATTTGTTGAACATTAGCAAGCAATCACGATGTGTCGATTAAACAACAGCAATACGAGATCTCCTTGTTGGGCAGAGCGACCTTTTCGATTTTTCGTGTTCGGCTTGCTAGATAATACCACACAAAACTCTTTCAGCTACTTCGCATAAAAGGTTGATATGTAGTGAGACTAAGCCTGTTTTTGTTCTGTAACCATAGAACCCATAGGAAATATGTGTTAAAAAATTTGGAATCTGAGGAACCATTCTATCCTAAATCTACAGGAATTGGAGAAAAAAAACTTTGAAAAACGAGCAGTTTTGGGTAGAGAATATTTTTATTTGGTTTTTGGCAGAGTATTCAAGTCTAAGGCTGATACATCACCTTTCATCTCTTCTAAATAGAAGACCATTCTTCAGTGAATTTGAAGTTTGGGGTAAAGCAAAACCGTGTGCAGAGTTTATTCTTCATCACTAAATCCGTGGAAGATAACTTAAAAACACAAGCTTTGATAGGGTTCTAGTCAGAAATAAATTTTTTAATCAGAAGAAGAGAACAAAAAGCTAGGACGAAATGAGGGGATGAACATATCAAAGAGATTGTTTCAGAGTTTCAAAAAAGGCTTTGGTAACGAAACATGTCCAAAAATCAAAGGATAAGGTACACGTCGATGGTGAATTCTTCCGAAAGCTTTGGCGTATACTCAAAATTTTAGTGCCAAGACCATTTTGTGGAGAGGTTGGTTTCAATCAACTCTTATTTCTCTTCTTTAATCCTTATCAACTTTTCACAGGTGTTCTATCTTCTCTTGGTAGCTGTAGCATTGATCTCTAGAACTTATGCGGATCTTTACATGATTAACAAATCTACAAGGATCGAAGCGTGAGATAAACTCTTGCGAATTCATTTTCTTTGGACAAAGTGAGTTTTTCTTTAGAACAATCATCTCGCGGAATCAGCTACAATTTATCATGGACTTGGTACAGTATATTTTGGCACTTCCAGCGATTTCGGTAACGAATACGATCCTGAAGGTAACCTGGAACTCCTATAACATGATTAAATGTATGAGTGCAACTGTAATGAGAACCTTTGCTAGGATTTTTTCACTACTTAGCTAAATTAATAGAAATTACAATGGATGTGAAGGACGTTAGACTTGCACATGCTACCTTTGAGTTTAAGATATCATATTTGATTCTAGTTTGACTTTTCAGTTTGCTTTGAGCGAGTTGAAACTGAGATTCCGAGAGCGGCTCACTAAGCATCTCTATGGGCAATATTTGAAGTGAGCAAACTCCCAAGCCAAGTTTCCCTCGCAGTTTACTTTATCAACTCCAGAGGCTTCACTTTCTATAAGATGTCAAATCTCGACAATCGAATCCAGAACGCTGATCAACTTCTGACTCAAGACGTGGACAAGTTTTGCGAAGGAGTTGTTGAGCTCTATTCCAATCTCACAAAAGTGCCCGCCA